GAGCTTTTTCTTTTGGTGGGGGGGAAGGAGGAAGCGGAGGGGGGGGACGCGGCCCGGCAGAGGAGGTAATGGGGTGGTGGAGGGCTGTGCAGAAAGAAGAGTGCTATGGAAATGGAAGGAGAAGTGGGTTATGCATATATAGATAATTCAACACAACTCAGATTTCAAGAGTCTCCTCCCCTCCCCCCCCACCCACCCACCCTCTCTCCCCCAGAAAAAAAAAAAAAAAAAAAAAAAAAAAAAAAAAAAAAACACCAAAAGTTTTAAAAATTAAAATCCAGTTCTGAAGATTCATTGAGAGAGAAGAGTGGTGTATGCCATTGTTCGTTACCCGAGACGGGTCTTTTTTTGGGGTCTTTTTTGGGGGGTCTTTTTTGGGGGTCTTTTCTTTCTTTCTAAGTTCTAACCTTTTTGTGGGGTGGAAAACCCACCATTAGCAGTCTTGCTCAGGGTGGATTAAATTGGATTTCCTTCCAAAAAAAATCAAGATGGATCTGAGATTCTTGACTTCCATGGAGCTTGATCACACTGGATCTTCTAGCTGAGATTGAGGAGACAAGCAAGTACCAGGTAGGCTTCTAGAAGAATCTTATCAAATTTCAAATTTCAAATTTTCTAAAACAGACTTGTTAACCTTTCTGTTTTTTTTTTCCTTGTACAACTATTAATTCTCAATTTCTCACAAAGTTCATTGCTTTGGAACTTCAGATCAATGCATACATAACTTTCTTTTCTTTTTTCTTTTCTTTGTTCCTCTTTTCTTCGGAAAAAAAAACTCTGTAGTAGTCTGTAGACTCTGTACTATATTGCCAATTTGTGCGAAATTGAAAAAAACATGAGGTGGAGAATTCATTCTCGAACGATGCAACCCAGCATAACGGGCAGCTCTGTTTGACGATGTATATACTTTTATAATTTTATTAAATTTTAATATGTGTAATGAATCTAATGATGTAGAATGGCAGGAGCCAGAACCAAGAGGTTCTGATTGAAAAAAAAAAAAAAAANTCCGGTTTCTGTTTTTGTGTAATTTACTAATCTTCTGGCCAGCATTTTCAAACTCGTGATGAACATTTTCACAATTTGAACTCCATCGCACCAGGGGAGGAAAGGGGGGAAGCATAATCTGTACAGTGTACAGCGGAAATGCTGCAAGGAAAATCCGGAAGAGCGATAGACAGAAATCCAAATTGCAACATCACAGTGAAGACCAGATAGTCGTGTAGTACGTGTACCAAGCAGAAAGCAATGACCACCGAGTTTAAAGCCCCCCCCCCCGCAAAAAAAAAAGGCCAAAGCCAAATAAGAACAGATGCAATGAACTCAAATGTCAATGTCAGCCCCAACCCGCCACCGTCAACATAATATCCAGTGGCGCTCCTCTCTTTTGACGTGCAGCGCCAAGCCTACCACTACTCAGCACCCAGCCTGCGACTACTCAGCGCCCAGTAGTAGCTTCCTATCGGTCCAAAGTGTCTGCGCCAGTGAATTTTGTTTTTTTGTGTTAAAAGAAAAAAAAAAGTGTCTGCGCTGCGGACCAGTTCAGATATTGTGACAAATCCAAGAGTCGAACACACTGTCAACGGCTTAGCGGGCAGACACCTAACCATAAGGCTAAGTGGGCTGGGGTGAAAGTGAAGCCCCAGGACTCAAACCTGAATACCTCACCCCACCCCAGCACGGAATCCCACAACGGAGATCCCGCGACCCGGTGTACCCAACCACACTTCCACTCCACTACGGTTCTTCCTGTCAGGTTTTGTCAGAATGAGCACATTTTGTCGGATTATGTCATACGGCCCCGCTGCATTACTCAACATTGTACATGTATCTGGACCACTATTGGACCAGCTACATTTGGACCGATTAGTCGTCTTGAATGCATTAAGACCACTAGCAGCTCCAGATACATTTAGAATGTTGTGCAGTGGAGCGAGGGCAGTAATCTTCAGACCTGCAGTGAACGGATAAGAAGTGCGCATACGGACAGATGAGAATCCCGTACAACTCACACTGGGACTTGATTGCAGTCAGATTCATACGATTCATCCGCGTCTGGTCGAAATTCGGGTTGGATGCATTTGGACGTGATTGCAGTCAGATTCATACGATTCATCGGGGTCCGGTCGAAATTCCAGTCGGATGCATTTAGGAAAGCGCTAGTGTGAGTATGCCCAGATTGATCGGTCACTGGGTACATTGTTGATGGCCTCGCATCATCCGCCGTCCTCACCTGTCCCCGCCCTCCCGCCCTCCCACCCTCCCACCCTCTCTCCTCTCGGCGACAACAGAGTCCCATCAAAGAGCTCCCGAACTCGAAGTTGTCTTTGTCATGCCTAGCAGGCAGCTAGTCAGTCCTCCGAAGTTCCAATAGCTCCATCAAATATCCCCCCACCCTCTCCCTCCACCCCCTCGCCACTTCTGAAAAGGTCCAATTGAATAACTCCCAACAAAAGGACAAAGAGGAACAACTCATTTTTCCGTTTTTTTCAAATCTTTTTTTTGCCGTTGTTTGGGATTTCCAGATGGTCACTACTTGACCACAAACCAACGAAATTGGCAGCATGGTTGTATTGGTTTTTTTTTTTGTTTTTTGTTTTTTTTCCTACTTTGTTTTTTGGGAGAATTGGGTTTTGTGATCGAGCGCAACTTCTTTTGATATGAAGCGTGCTTTTCAGAGCAACCACTTGTATCCTGTCGCCGCGGCAGGAGGGAGGGAGGGAGGGAGGGAGGGAGGGAGTAGTTGTCAAACAGTTTATGAGGCGAACAGCAGGAATGGTCTCTCTGCACTCCTTAAACCACCAGTACTTGGCCCATACATCGGCCGCGGGGCGTTGCCGTTAACGCCCCGCAACTTCCAGAGGCTCGGGGTACTGGCCCTCAAAGGCTGGCGCCGCCAGCCAAAACACGTTCTTTTTGTTGTGCTGGCGGGTCGGCGCAAAACAGCGCGCAGCCTGTTTTCAGTTTCGGCATCGATAGCTGGGCCGAGAACTGGTGGTTTAAGTGGTAATAGCAACGTCGGCTACGTCAGCTCGCTGAGGGGATGCGTTTTCTATGCCTTGCTGGAGCAGGTCGTGCACGGACGAGGCGAATGAATGGCGCGAGTCATTCTTGCTCACGTTGCTGGAGCTGGTCATGCGCTGACGAGGCGAATGAATGGCGGGAGTTGTTTTTGCTCACGCATAATGTAGAATGGAACATATTATGCCACATCAGCTTGATGATGAGAGGACGGCGCCGCGGCGGTCTTTGTGTGTGTTGCTTCTGCGCATCGTGAGCTGAGCTGACGGTGTCGATACTACATTTGATGTTGCAAAGAGGGCTTATAACTTCTCGGCATGTCAACTTCCCAAGCAAGCAGTAACTTTCCATAAATAGCAACAACCACTTCCATTGCCCTGGAGTTTTTTTTTTTTTTTTTTTTTTGGGG